ATCAGTCCGAGCTGCATTTATTTATTTATAAACTACTATTACGATTGAAAAACGAAACAGTTGACGCGTCGTATTTATGTTCACTGACGGTGAGGGCAGCATTACTAGCATTTCCACCGCCTGGCAACCATCGCGGTGAAAACAAGGGCCGACAACTCCCAGAAAACTATATTTTGGGATAGTTGTTGAGAATCTCCTGACCAACGTAACAAGATCACCCCTACATGTGCAACAAATATAAATTTTGTTGCTCAGGATTACGTCAAACTTGGGTTTGTGCTCTTTCAGCTGTTTTCATCGGCTCTTCGACCGGCGTCGAACAGCAGCTTGCGCAAAGCCTGTAGAAATGCGTGGTACAGTGGTGCGCGTCTTAGCAGCGTGGAACATCTTGTGACGTAGCTCCGCCCCCAAGGATACGATGACGCACCGCCAGCAGCGTCAAGGATTTTACTCGTGTTGTAATCTTAGGACGCGCACTACGCGAGCTGCGAGCTGCTGTGTAACGCCGGTCGAAATAGCAGTGAAAATAGCTCAAGAAAACACCACAATCTCAACATTGTACATGAAGTGGCAATCTTGCAACTATCTAAAAAGTACAGTTTTTAAAGAGTTATGGGGTAGAAGTCTATTCATAAGATCTGCAATAAAACTATAGTCTTGCATTTAGATATGTCTTAATTTTACCAAGCACTATAAAGTTAGAATGATTTCAACTATTCATACCGAGATTAAAATTAGGGAGGGGTGGGTATGCAACGATGTTGATGTCGGATAAAGATCACACGAAAGTTCAAGAGAGCACGCGAAATGCAAAGTCGCAAGAGAAATTTACATTTCTAATAATTATAATTAAAATATATGTAGAGAAAAAAAAATATTCGTGTTCACCTCAGACCGTTCATTGGCAGCGTCCGTGCTTATTCGCAAGGCTACACGACTACTTAGACACTACATGGTTGTTGTATTAATAGTGTTCATTAATAACTCAAAAGAGCATGCGCAATGCACAGTTCGTTACGTCATCCGTTGTGACGGGGTAAAGAATTAATGTAACTGACCGTAACTGGAGATAATATTATGAAAGTAAATTGTAAGCACAACAATGTTGTGTAATTTAGGTAGACATAGATAATCTTAGTTTTAACATTTGGTGTGTGTGTAAATTTTCGTTATAGTGGTAGAACCAGTGCTCAAGCCACTTCGAGTTATATTTGTTATAGAATAGATAGAATAAAATAGAATAGAATAGAATAGAAAAGCTTATTTAACACACAATGATATATACCTGGTTCACACGTAACATTCACGCCGTTGTAGCACCGCCGTAAATTTAACGACGGTGTTATTTTTACCGTGTGACAAGTTTACGCCGATGTAAAAAATGGCCGAATTTACACCGGCGTTAACTGTTTGACCAGAGTCCGCGCTCAGACCTAAATTCTAAACAAAAGTTCGTGTGAACACACACAGTGGCATAAACGGTGACACAAACACCCTCTATCGGAAATTCGTGTCTAAGTACATAGCAACGACATGACGTCGAGTGATACACGTGCCGCTCTGGTCAGTAGAACGAGTAGTCTGGGAAATAATTGCTACTGATTTCTATTTGGTAAGAGTAAAGTATTTTTAGATTGATACACGGAACCACCCACGATAGCCAGGTTTACAGGATTATTGCACAAAAAGACAAAGAATTGGGGTTAGATAAACCCGCAGAACTGTGCCGTCAAAAAGTAAAACCTTTGAAGTCGAGATTCAAGGAAGTAATTGACAATAATAACTGTAGTGGTCGGGTACGAATATGTTCAAACACGGATCTAACTACAGAGGGGGTGTTACACAGGCCTGATATAAAATTACGCCAGCGTTTTTAATGTCGTGTGATCGCAAACGAAATACGCCGTTGTAGAGCCAATGCGAACACTGGTGTTCTCACTGGCCCTACAACGGCGTATTTCTAGCCAGTGTGAACCAGGTAATAAGTTCCCCAGTCATATCACAATCCAATGTTTTTTGTCGTCTGTAATTAGCTATGTTGATCTCATGAAATGTGCAGGTTAGTGATGATTGATCTTGAAAACCATGTACAGAATTGTACACTTGATTTCACCATCCCTGATTTCAAGTTATTTTTTTTTTTACAATTTTCACTTTTTTCAGTGCTGTTTTTGGAAAACTTGAAATACATCGTAGGAGTGGGAAGTCTGTTCAAAACTACAGACTTATCTCCCTACAAGTTCCTTAGCTAAAATATGTCACATGCAGATCTGGAGCTAAGTTATTCTCGTTTAACATAAACTACGTAATTTAGTCGTTGCACGTCATTGAAACCCGCGTCCGCTTTGTTACTAGTTCTGTGAAGACTATTCTCGCCGAGTCACAGTATATGTTGCTATTTTTAGTAATGCCCTTTGATGAGGTCGACCATGCTTTATTTTTTACAAATGAGTGGTATTGGTCGCAAAGCTATTTATCAAAAATGACACACAGGGTCATTTTAAACCGTGGCATGTCATTATGGTGTAGTTTCATTCATAGTGTATCACAAAGTTGTATATTTGGGTCGTTATCGTATCAAAACTTTAAATATAGAAGAAATTCGTGGAAATAACAAATTCAATTTTAGTAAACAATAAAACAATGGAAAGAAACGTGAGTAAAAACACAATAGAAACCTCGTTTAAATAGAAAAAAACTGTAACCTCGTGAACATATAAAAAGATACGTTCATCCGTAACAGGTAGAACTATTACGTAAATTCTTTAAAACCTTCATATAATCTTATCATTTGAATGAATTAACAGACATTGAATCCAGAACAGACACCCGAAGAATTGTATCGAGACAGTTTTGTCTGCTGGACGATAGTTTATGTAAACTTTACCAGACCATGGATATAAAATGGACAGATATTTTGACAGAAAGGGCAGGTGGTATAGAAGTTTACATAATAGGTATGTCACAGTGTTTACTTATGTGGTATTAGTCCTACTGTAGATTATAATCAAATATTTATGTCAATATATTTAAATTCATTTTCATTTAAATTCCTCGTTTGTTAAGTTTACTCTAATAAAGCAACAACTATCAGTATCATTCATCTTTAACGTGGGCTAAAAGGTCAAAAACGTTAGCCCGTGCGGGCGTGGACGCATAGCACGGTCTATAACTCTAAATACGTTCCGGTCATCAGCTAGGGCACAGTCCCTCTATCACTTGTTTAAAAGAGAGAGTAATCACCTATACACCCAGTGTAGGGGCAGGGCCAGCGAGAAGTGGTTCGCGAATTATCGGGCTAGAATAAATGCGAACTAATGGAACGTAAATGTTTAGGGGGGCGTCGATTATTTCGGGAGTTCTTCTGGAAAAGTCTGTTGAGAATTTTCGTAGGAAGAGTGTGAAATAAATCAACGGAAATAGCAGGGACTGGCGGGGAGGTGCGAGACGACATTGTTGTTATTATTGTGATCGGCGGCGGCGTTAACAACAACAACGAGCCAGTAT